CTTGACTCCAAACCCCAAACCCTGACCCCTAACCTTGAGCCCTAACCCCAAACCCAACCCCTAACCCCAATCTCGTCTCTCTGGGACGAGAGAGCCGGATGTCACGGGGTCGTGGGGTCACAGGGTCACGAGGTCACGGGGTCACGGGGTCACGTACCCAGGACGGAGCCGTAGGTGGCGTTGCGGTACTCGTCCCACGACACGGCGCCGTCCCCATTGAGGTCGTGGCCCTTCCACTGCCGCTCCACGTCCTCGTAAATCCAGCGCTTCTGAGCGAACTTGATCCACTCCTTCAGCTCCTCCACCGTCACGAAGCCGTCCTTGTCGCCGTCGATCTTCACGACGATTTTGCTGCGAGTGAACCGGCTTTACAACGGGGAGCAGCACGTGGCCACGGCACCGCCCTGCTGCGGGATGCTGGGCGGCACCTCGGCACCGGGACGGAATGTGGGGACGTCTCACCTCTGGCTCTGCTCTGGGTTCTACTCCTGGCCCCGCTCTGAGCTCCACTCTCGTCTCTACTCTTGGCCCTACTCTTAGCTTTACTCCTGCCCTTACTCTTAGCTCTACCCTTGTCTCTACTTTTGCCTCTACTCTGAGCTCTACTCTTGACTCTTGTCCCTACTCTTAGCTCTACTCTTGTCTCTACTTTTGACTCTACTCTTAGCTCTGCTCTTTACTTTTGTTCCTACTCTTAGCTCTACTCTTATCCCTACTCTTAGCTCTACACTTGGCCCTGCTCTTAGCTCTACACTTGACTCTACTTTTGCCTCTACTCTGAGCTCTACTCTTGACTCTTGGCCCTACTCTTAGCTTTACTCCTGCCCCTACTCTTAGCTCTACTCTTGGCCCTGCCCTTAGCTCCACTCTTGACTCTACTTTTGCCTCTACTCTAAGCTCTACTCTTGACTCCTGGCCCTACTCTTAGCTCTACTCGTCTCTACTTTTGACTCTACTCTTAGCTCTGCTCTTTACTCTTGGCCCTACTCTTAGCTCAACTCCTGTCCCTACTCTTAGCTCTACTCTTGGCCCTACTTTTGACTCTACTCTTGTCTCTACTTTTGACTCTACTCTTGGCTTTACTCTTAGCTCTACTCTTTACTCTTGGCCCTACTCTTAGCTCTACTCTCTTAGCTCCACTTTTGACGCTACTCTTAGCTCTCCTCCTAGCTCTACTTTTGATTCTACTCTTAGCTCTACTCTTTATTCTTGGCTCTACTCTTAGCTCTACTTTTGATTCTACTCTTCACTCTTGACTCTTGGCCCTACTCTTAGCTCTACTCTTAGCTCTACTTTTGACTCTACTCCCAGCTCTATTCTTGGCCCTGCTCTTAGTTCTACTCTTAGTTGTACTCTAGCTCTACTCTTGGCTCTACCCTGAGCTCTACTGTTAGCTCTTCTCTTGGCTCTCATCCTGGCCCTACTCCTGCTTCTACTCTTAGCTCTACTCTTGATTCTACACACAGTACTACTCCTAGCTCCACTCTTAATTCTATTTCCAGGTCAACTCCTGGCCATACTCTAGCTCTACTCCTGACTCTACCCTTAGTTCTACTCCTGGCCCTACTCTTAACTCATAGTTCTACTCCTGGCCCTACTACTGTCTCAACTCTTGACTCCACTCTTGATTCTAGTCCTGGCCCTGTTCCTGGCTCCACTCTTAGTTCTACTCCTGGCTCTACTTTTAGCTCTGCTCTTGGCTGCACTCTTCATTCTCCTCTCAGCTCTGCTCCTTGCTCTACTCCTGGTTCTACCCACTCTTGATCTTGGCTCCACTCTTAGCTCTATTCCTGGCACCGCTCCTCGTTCTGCTCCCAGCTCTGCGTACTCCCGGCTCTTAGCTCTACTCTTAGCTCTACTCCTGGCCCTACCTCTGGCTCAGCTCTACATATCCTTGGCTCCATTCAGTTCTCCCAGCTCCACTCTTGCTCCAAGTCACACTCCTGGCTTTTTAGCTCTGCTCTTTGCTCTGCTCCCATCTCTCCTTGTAGCTTTACACCTGGCTCCACTCTTGGCACTACTCTTGGCTCTGCTCTTGGCTTTACTCCTTCTTGGCTCTGCTCTTAGCTCTGCTTTTAGTTTTAGCTCTACTCTTAGCTCTGCTCTTAGTTCCACTCTTGGCTCTACTCCTAGCTCTACTCTTGGCCCTACTCTTAGCTTTACTCTGAGCTCTACTCTTTAGTCCTACCCTTAGCTTTACACTTAGCTTTACTCTCAGCTCTACTCTTAGCTCTACTTTTGGCCCTACTCTTAGCTCTACTCTTAGCTTTACTCTCAGCTCTACTCTTGGCTCTATTCTCAGCCTTACTCTTGGCCCTACTCTTTAGTCCTACCCTAAGCTCTACTCTTAGCTTTACTCTCAGCTCTACTCCTGGCTCTATTAGCTCTACTCTTGGCCCTACTCTTAGCTCTACTCTTAGCTTTACTCTCAGCTCTACTCTCAGCTCTGCTCTTAGCTCTACTCTTGGCCCTACTCTTAGC